AGTTTAAATAGATAGCTTCCTAGTTAGGCTATATGTATGACAGCTAGTGTAGAACTCTTAGCATAGCACTAACGCTTTGGGCGGACTACTTAAATAGGCAACCAAAAGTTGTACGTGTGACTAGTTGTAATCTCGTTATACTGATGTAATATGTAAGCCAGTCTTTGGACGGCCCACCTGTTTGAACTAATAAAGTGCCAGGGGTCTAAGTAGTCACCTCAATATTAAAAAAAAAAAAAAAAAACAATTGCCATTTTTTTACTATTGCCATTATATCAACAATTGCCATTATATTAACAAAAAAAACCAAACTTAAGCTAATGATTAATTTTTACTAGATCAGAACTTTGCATAAAGACAATATATTTAATGCATTTTTTTTCTTAATGTAATCTTTATTTTCCGTAATTGCAATAAAAGATCAGTGAAAACAAACAAATTGCTTTTTGTAATTTTTTTGTAATTTTAATAAAAGTAATCAGTGAAAAATAGATTTGTAATTTTTTTGTAATTGTAATAAAGAGATTTGTAGAAACAAAAAGCTTGTCTAATTGTTACTTTATTACTAACATAGTCTTTAATAAAAGATATAAATATAATGTTAAAATGGTCTTGCTTTTTTTAAAAAAAGAAAAATGACTATCTCACGAAGCAATAAAAGTATCTCAAAAACACATATAACAAAAAAACAAAAAAGAAAATAGAATATTTATGAAAAATTAAACATTAATACCTACTATGAGAAAAATAAAATGCAACTAAGTATTAAACAAATATGTCAAAATTTTAAAATTCAATCGAATTGAATCAATTACATAACTAGATAAATAAAAAGAACAAGTTAATTAAAGCTTCACCAAACACATTCAAGTTACATGATGGATACTTACCTGATTATTCCCAAATAGAAAAAAATTTATTTAATTAGATTATAGACCAACATCGACTACATAATACTATTACTAGAGAGATAATAACTGTAAAGGCAAATTCACTTACTCAAGCCATGAATTTTAATCAAAATCAATCATTTATGTTTTAAAGTAACTGGCTTAATGGTTTTTTGAAACATTATAACTTATCAATTCGCTATTGAACAACTATCTCATAGAAGCTAACTGAAGATTTAGAAAAACAACAATCACAATTTCTCAATTATGTCTTAAATTTATAAATTTAATACAATTCCCTTTTATCTTTAATAGAAAATATAAACAAAACTCTACTCATGTTTGATTTACCAAACCCATCAACAATTGAAACTTGAGGAACTCACACTATTAGCATCTGAACTACTGGCAATAAAAAAAATTTTACTATTATTCTTGCATATCTAGCAAATGAGACAAAATTACTGCCAGTATTGATTTTTAAAAGAAAACCTTATCTAGAGAAAATTTTCCTCATAATGTTTTTGTTAAAGCGAATGAAAAAGGTTGAGTTAATGAAAACCAAATGTTATGGTGGATTGAGAATGTTTGGTTTAAAAGAGAATCTAGTAATCCAAGATCTCTTTTAATACTTGACTTCTTTCATGCACATTTAATAGATCTAGTCAAACAATGTTTGCTTAATCATAATACGAATACAGCTGTAATTTCTGGCAGACTTACATCTAAATTACAACCATTAGATATTAGTATAAATAAAAGGTTTAAAGCAAAAATCCATGCACTTTACAATCGTTGGATGACAGAAACAATTCATAAGTTAACTTCTTCAGGTTGTATTAAGCAACCATTATATTTACAACTTGCATTGTAGGTGGTATTTGCCTGGGAAACTCTTGATCCAGGTTTAATTAGACATTTGTTTAATTGCTATAATTTGTAATTTTTTTTTTTATTATTTGTTAAGTTTTTTTTTTATTTCTGTTTTTTTTTATAATATTATTATGTATTGTTAAATATAAATAAACTACCATATACACCATTTGAATATTCATATGCCCAGTAACTATTTTATGACAGAGAGGTGATTTGGACCATAAAATATAGTAATATAGAACCTTTAATGCCCAACTACTTTCTAACATTGGAAATTGATACTTTTTTTAAAAAAAGGGTTAAAATACTTTTGTTTTTGGTACTTCTCTATATAGTGTTTATATGATTAGTGAGTATTATTTTGAAACTAAAATCGATGACCAAAAAATTAGACTAGAATTACTTATAATTTTACTAATAAAATCACAGCCGCCTATAAATTTATAATTGTTTCTATTATAATGTGGGCTTATTTCTTAAAATTTTCTATTTTGTAATGAAAAAATTAAAAAGTTAATTTTGGCTGAAAATTAGTAAACAATCATGTAATGCGGGCCAAAATTTTGAAGATCCTCGGCTGTTAGCCAATCAAAATCGGGAATCTACTGCGGGTTAATTCAATAAAGGACATATTAACTATAGCTGCCACAGACTGGCAGATTCTTGATTTTGATTGGCTAAGAGTGACGATCAAAAATTAGGCCGGAATTACTAATAATTTTACTAATGAAACCATAGCCGCCTATTAAGTGAAAATTGTTCCTGGGTCAATTTTACCATAATGCGAACTTATTTTTTAAGAATTTCTATTTTTGTTAATTCCGGAATTTAGTAAACAATTTTGGCCCACATTACACAATTGTTTTCTAATTTCCGGCCGAAATTAACTTTTTAATTTTTTCATTACAAAAATAGAAATTTTTTAAAAATAAGCCACATTATAGTAAAATTGACCCAGGAACAATTTTGACTTAATGGGCGTCTGCGATTTCATTAGTAAAATTATGAGTAATTCCGGCCTAATTTTTTGATCGTCGCTCTTAGCCAATCAAAATCGAG